TTTATTTTCTTGAAAATAACGATATTTCGCGATTTTATTTTTCTTGAAAATAGGAATATTCCGCGAATTATTTCGCGATTTTATTTTCTTGAAAAAAACAATACTCCGCGATTCTATTTTCTTGAAAAACACGAATATTCTGCGGATTATTTCGCGATTGTTGTTTCTTGAAATTGGAATATTCCTGCAAGTATTTTTTTATTATTTTTGCAATTTATTTTTTGATTAAATTCGAAATTTGTTGCGCAACCTTTCTACTGCGATTTCCCATTGTATTAGTCCGCGATCTTTTATTCTTTGAAGATTCGTGGCTGAGGAGATCCAGGAAAAAATTCGATTCTATTCCTTCAAAAATCCCCGTTACTTCTGGAATTCAAAATTTTTGAACTTCGTTTTTTAATTTTTTTTTGAAAATCGTTTTTTTTTTTATTTTTCGGAAATTGTTTTTTCGGGAACCCTCTGCGCACACTCTCATGTGACATATTCCGAACTTTTTCCCTTCGGAATTCGCCGAACCTGCGGGAGTATATTTTCTCTCGCAGTTCAGCTTTCCCCCCATTGTCTCCATTCTGATTCATTGCAGCCTGCAATTCGACATTTTTTTACTGTTCGTAACTGCTGCGGGGATATCTAAGGAGCCTACCAAGCTTGCAAATTCGACTTTTTTTCTTTTTTTCCAAAATGCAGCAAGGTCGTTATTTTTTCTTTGATTAGCGGCTCCTTATCTGGGCAACCCCTTCGCTGGCCCACTCCCCCTCTCTCCATCCCACCTCTCCTTTCCTTCTCCATCCTTTCCCGCCTGCCCAGCCACCTGCAGTTGCAGGCCAGGTAAGCCATTTCAGCAGGCCACGTCAGGGTGCCGCGGCGCATGACCGTTCTGACTCGCACGCAAACAGCGGCGATGGATCAGAAGCCAGGTATGACTGACGCGGACTACGAAGCACGGCTGGCGGCCATCGTAGCCGAAGGCAAGAAGCGGGCAGACGCAGCAGCAGCAGCACGGAAGAAGAAAGAAGCAGAGGCAGAGAGGCTACGTCTTCTGGCTGAAGAGCAGCAACAGAAGCATGCAGCAGCAGCAGCCACGGCCGCCGATGAAGAACGTGCACGGCGACGCGAGGTCATATTCAGGGAGGAAAGTGCACTTCACGCACAGGCTAAGGATTGGCAAAAAGAGGCCGAGAACGGCGACCCCGTTGATGTCGGGAGCAGAGTGTCTCAACTACTCAACCGCGTCACGGACTTCCTTGCTACTTGTATTGCGCAGCAGGAGGATATCCATTCGCTCGACCACACCAACCAGGTGCAACAACAGTCCATTGACAAGATGCTCCAGCGCATCCAGCAGCTGGAGCAGCAGCTTGCTACCGCCAACTCCGGCGCCGGTCCTTCCGACCTCGTCGACCGCGTCCACGTTTTGGAGATTGACATGGGAGTACTCAAGACCGGGGCGCAACATGTCTGCACCGCCGCTGGCTCCAGCTCGACGCCACGGGAATCCATTGTCAAATTTGACGGGCTTCCGATCTTCTGTGACTCATCGAAGACGGACCCCATACCGTGGTGGCGTCAGTTCGAACTCAAGCTGGACCTTCACCACGTGATCGACACAAACAGGCATGCATATCTGTACTCCCGTTCGGGAGGAGCGTGCCAAGCATGGCTGGATAACATGCTGTCCGCACATGCCTGTACAGTCACCGAACTGCACAAGTACATCAGCTGGGCAGATCTCACGGAGGCGTGGAAGAAGCGTTTCCAAGTCGAACCGCCGGAGCACCTCGCGATGGACACGTTGCTGACGTTTTCGCAGAACAATCTGCCAAGCGGTGATTTGATTTCTGAGTTCCAACGCCTGGCTAGCACGCCCAAGTTGCCGATGAACTTCGACGGCATCAAGCTGTACTTCATCAAGCGGTCGTGCCCGACATTGCAGAACGCATTGACTCACGTCGCGGACACCCTCACCACAAGTGAGRAGCTCTTCAACAAGGCTGCGCAGATCATTGTCACRAATCTGGCCGCCCRGAACACGGGCCCTTCGTCATCTGCCGGCCAGGGCACGCATCAGCATCGGCCCAAGGTGGTCGTGGTCGCAGCAGCAACGCCTAGCGACCCTTCAACTTCTTCGAACGAGGCTGCTTCATCTGATCAGGGAGACAGACTAGCAGCTGCCCAGAATGGTGGCCGCCCCGCCAAAGGACGAGGACACGGCAAGCCGAAGACAACCACCAATACTTCTTCTGGGCCCGGACAGACAGCTCAAGAACAAGGCCCTTGGACAACATACGGTTTGTCCGCCACGCGCATATAAAATTCGCACCAAGTACCGTTATTGCTTGTGGTGCAATAGCTCCGCTCATGAGTCAGCGAGTTGTCCCACAAAGGCCAAAGGTCCCGCCCAGTCGGGAAAGTGAGCACCGCCGAGAGTGTTGCGACGACACTCTCGACGCCTTCGGAACCGGTTACCGCGCGAGTAACCTCCCTCGGYTCCGGGGCACATGCGGACGTCGTAAGTCCTCCCATTCTTCATTCGTTCGAGGACTATGCTGCCCGGCTCGTACCTTCGCTGATTCCACGAGCCCAAGGACARGATGTATGTGCGGTCTCTTCTCCGATCGGTAGTAGCTGCATTGATTCGTCTTCAAGTGGACCTTCACGGGATTCGGCGCACGCGCTCAACATTGAGGACTTGGACCCGTTGACGCCCGAGGATTTTGCATGGCTTCCTCTCCCTTCCACCGGCTGCTTACCGGAGCCGCAATGCGCCGCTCTTCGCGCTCATCTACATACATACTTGGCCTTCTATGCACCACCAACTTCGCCTACGGAGGACGAGGTCGCGGTGGGGGACATTCTTCCTTATGTGAGCAAGGTGGCCCGCGAGTTTCGCATGCAGCGGTATGACGACAACAACACACCGCTCCTTTACGTCCGCATCCAAATCGGGCAAGCGTCCTGCAGCGCTTTGCTGGATAGCGGCGCGACTCGCAACTTCATTAGCCAGTCCTTCATGCAAAGGGCCSGCCTTGGACCACAAGTTCGAAGGAAGGCACACCCTACGTCGATCAAGTTAGCGGACGGAAGGACGCAACAACTCCTTGATCGCTACATCGAAGTCGTCCCGGTCTATTTCGCACCTCATGCATGCGAACCGGTGACGTTCGACGTCTTGGATACGGACTTCGACATCATTTTGGGCATGCCTTGGCTCGCTAGTGCGGATCACACGGTCAACTTCCATCGGCGGACTCTTACGGTTCGCGACGCRTTCGGCACCGAWGTACYGTGTACCATTCCTCCTCCGCACCCTTCGATCCGGTGCCAAGTTGTAACCGCCAAATCTTTTCGGGCCACTTGCGCTTACGAGYGGACTGACGAGATTGACTTATGTTTTCTTCGAACCGTCGCGGCAGCCGATTCTCAAGCCACGGACTTGTCTTCCGACTCCCGGGTGGTGCGGTTGCTCGACGAATTCGCCGACGTCTTCGAGTCACCTACCGGCGTGATGCCGGATCGGCCGATCTCACACGAGATCATTCTTGAGGCCGGTGCCGTACCGCCAAAAGGTTGCATCTATCGCATGAGCAAGGAGGAACTTACAGTACTCCGCGCGCAGCTCGACGACTTATTGGACAAAGGCTGGATCCGGCCTAGTAGTTCACCCTACGGTGCGCCTGTCCTCTTCGTTCGGAAGAAGAACAAGGACCTTCGCTTATGCATCGATTACCGCAAGCTCAATGCGCAAACCGTCAAGAACGCGGGACCTCTTCCTCGTATCGACGACCTCTTGGAGCGCTTGGGCGGCGCGAAGTTCTTCTCCAAACTGGACTTGAAGTCGGGATACCATCAAATCTCGATTCGGCCGCAAGATCGCTACAAGACCGCGTTCAAGACACGGTATGGGCACTTCGAGTGGGTCGTGATGCCTTTCGGACTCACCAACGCCCCGGCGACTTTTCAAGCGGCGATGACCAACGAGTTCCGCGCAATGTTGGACCGGTTCGTGCTGGTCTACCTGGACGACATTCTCGTCTATAGCCGGACCTTGGAGGAACATCTGGATCATCTTCGACGAGTGTTGGAGAGACTCCGGCGTGCCAAGTTCAAAGCCAACCGCGACAAGTGCGAGTTCGTGCGTCAAGAGTTGGAATACTTGGGCCATTTTATCACTCCACAAGGCATCAGTCCATTGTCGGACAAGATTCAAGCCGTCCAAGATTGGCCGGAGCCTCGGAATGTTACGGATGTCCGATCTTTCCTTGGCCTTGCCGGTTACTACCAACGATTCATCAAAGGGTACTCGAAGATCGCGGCTCACTTGACCAAGCTTCAATGCGAGGACCGACCGTTTGACTTCGGGACGGACGCGCGGGAGTCATTCTTGGCCCTCAAGGCCGCCTTGCTTTCCGCGGAGGTATTGCGGATTTACGACCCGCTCTTGCCAACACGCGTCACCACGGATGCGTCTGGCTATGGCATTGGTGTCGTCCTCGAGCAACATGACGGCGTGGATTGRCACCCGGTCGAATACTTCAGCAAGAAGGTGCCGCCCGTGCACTCCATCGATGATGCACGCAAGAAGGAACTTCTCGCCYTCGTTCAMGCACTCAAGCGATGGCGGCACTTCCTCCTCGGTCGACGCCAGTTCCGATGGGTAACGGACAACAATCCGTTGGTTTTCTACAAGTCTCAAGACACCGTCAACAGCACCATCGCCCGTTGGATGGCCTTCATCGACCAATTCGACTTCTTTCCCGATCACATTCCGGGGAAGTCGAACCGTTTCGCGGATGCCCTTTCCCGGCGTCCGGACCACTGCACCGCGGTCTACTCAACCTTC